TATGAGGGTCATATGCACTTTAGTAAGGTAGACCAAAGACAAACTGTAAATAAAAAGATAAAGACATTAAAGAATTAGCATTATATAGAAAGGAAAGATAAAGACATTAAAGAATTAGCATTATGTAGAAAGGAAAAGATACCTGTGATAGAGAATAACAAGAGATTTTTGTTGTAATTGTTGTTGATATGTGCCTTCAAATGGAAACCAACTCATGACTTATTCTTCAGCGATTTTCAGAGGCAGTAACATGGAAAGAAGATTGCCCATCTTTCTCCTGAGGACCAGCTGGTTGATTAGAATTGCATGTGACTTTGGGTTTGCAACACAGCTCCTGACCACTGGTCATTCCTATTAAGGGATAGCTTATAACACAGTTGTTTTAGTTATGTGCTATCAAATTGGAACCGACTCCCAGCCAACTCTAGATTTTCAGAGGTGAAAAATCGCAAGGGAGGAGATTTCACATCTTTCTTCTGCAGAACCAACTGTGGATTCAAACCTCTAAAGTCACACTGTTGTTAAGGACTCAAATACCACTCATAGTGACTCTAAGAACAGTATACCTAATTTCTGCCCTATTCTGCACTATCCTTATCCTCAATACACATTTGAGTCCATTGTCATATTACTCCATCACATTGAGAATCTTCCTCTCCTTCACAGACCCTCCCCCTTTCCAAGCCTGATGTCCCTTTCCAAGAAATACCCTTTCCTATCATGTCCAAAATATGTGTGATGAACCTTCACCATCTTTGCCTTTAAGGAACACTCTGACTGCACTTTCTCCAAGATATATCAATTTATTCTTCTGGCAGTCCATGGGATATTTTGCACTCTTCAACATCACAACTCAAATGCATCAGTTCTCCTGTTGTCCTTATTCATTGTCTAGCTCTCAGTTACATAGCAGTTGATTGGAAAGACTGTGGCTTTAATCAGGTGCACCTTAGTCTTTAAACTAACGTGATTGATCTTCAGGACTTTAAAGCTATTCCTGACAGCATACTTTCTCAATGCTATACGTCTCCTAACCGCTGGTACCAAGGGTGTTGACTGTAGATCCAAACAAGATGAAATCATTGACAATTTCATTCATTTTTTCATCTATCATGATGTCACCTTGGTGAGGATTTTTGTTTTCTTGGTAATGAGAAGCCATCCATAATGAAGGCCGCAGTCTGATTTTCTGCAGCAAGCACTTCAGGTGCTTCTCACGTTTGAGCAAGCAAACTTGTATCATTTGTGTAACATAGGTTGTTGATGAGACTTACTTTGAACTTGATACCATACTCTTGTTCATAAGTCCAGCTTCTTGTATGACTTGCTCAGCATACAGATTGAATAGGTATGGAATGAGGCTACAGCCCTGATGAATACCTTTCCCGATTTTAAACCATGCTCTGTTCCCTTGCGTAGTTTGGAAGACAGCTTCTTGGTCTAAGTATAGACTTAATGTAAGCATAATTAAGTATTCTGGAATTCCCATTCTCAAGGTTAGCTATAGTTATAATCTATACAGGTAAATGTCTGCATCATCAATAAAATGCAAACAGATATTCTTCTGGAATTCTCTGCTTTCAGCCAAAATTCATCTGATATCAGCAATAATATCCCTAGTGCCACAGCCTCTTCTAAACCCAGTTTGGAAGTTCTCAGTCAGTGTACTCTTCTAACTGTTTTCAGATGCTCTTTAATAATATTTTACTTGCATGTGGTATTAATGAGAACATTCAATAATTTCCACATTCTGTTGGTTCACCTTTCTTGGGAATGGGAACAAAATATGGGTCTTTTGCAGTTGATTAGCCAGGCAGCTGTCTTTCAGCTGGTGAGTACATCCAGAGTTGCATCTGTTGTTTGGAACAAGCCAGTATCCCATTGATTCCTGGGGTCTTATTTTTTGCTAATACCTTCAATGTAGCTTCTTCCTTTAGCATATGTTACTTCCAATGTCAGCCATTTCTTTTTTGTGTAGTAACTCTGTGTATTCTCTCCACTTTTTAAATGCTTCCTGAATCATTCAAGCTTCAAGAAAGACACACTAAGTAGGCACAAATGCCAGGATTTTAATCCAGATTTCTGTGGCCCTGTGTCCTCTATTCTTCCCACTAAAACATGATACCTTCCTGTGGTATTAATAGCTATTAGTATTATTGCTGTTTTTAAAACATGAAACAACTAGAAGATCCTGTTATTAAGCTTCAGCTCAAGTGCTTTCTCCTTTAGGGAGACATTCCCTCTTTACACAATCTAAAGTAGTTCAATCACAGTCTTTTTGTATTTGCATTTGTTGTTGTTATGTGCCATCGGGTCACCTGAGACCCATAGTGACCCTGTGTACAGCAGTTCTGAACCCTGCCCTGTCCTGAGCCATTCTCACTAATTCCAAAACCAACCCTCATTGCCCCAGTTAACTTTATCAATCCATCTTGTCTGGGGTCTTCCTCTACTGCACTGTCCCTTTACTCTTCTGAGCATGATCTCCTTCTCCAAGGACTTGTTCTTTCCTGGGCACACGCCCAAAGTACGTGAGATGGAGCTTCAAAATCCTAGCCTTCTCGGGAAAACTTGGTTTCATTCCCTCCATGACAGACCCATTTGTTTTCTTGACAGTCCATGGTATGTTCAAGACTCTTCTAGTACCACAATTTGAAGTAATCAATTCTTCTGTCATCCTTCTTCTGTCATTGTCTAGCTGTCTGATGCATACCAAGTAATTGCAAAGACCATGTTCTGGATTAGGCACACCTTAGTGTCTAAACTGACATCATTGCTTTTCAGTACTCTGGAGAGGTCCCTGAATGTTATTGTTATTGATTATCAGGTAGCAACCAATTCAGAGCTGACCCTCCAGCAGGTTTTCAGAGGCAGTAAATTGCACAGGTCAAGACTGCCCATCTATCTTTTCTACCATGGAGCATCAGGTGGATTTGAACTGCCTGTCTTTGGATTGGTAGCACAGGTCCTTACCACTCAGTCACCAGAGCTCCCTTACTATTAAATATATCACATTAATTTATTTTGCTTCTGTTTCAGTACGCTCATCTCAAATATAAACATACTGAAGGCAGAGACTTTGCTTACACTAGTGGTTCCCCTGTACCTCCACAATGCTTAGAAAATACAATGTCAAGAAATATATTTTTAAAAATAGTTAATAATTTCTGAAAATGGAAATGGGAAATATTTCACCTACAGTTTTAATTTATGGGATTTATGTCAGTTTTACCTTCCTGTCAATGGGTATGCTTATTCATTGCTGTATTTCCAGCACATAGACCAAGATTTCCCAGTTAGTAATTGCTTGCCTTATATTATTAAGTAGATTTAATATGTGTTCTGGAGAGGAATAAAAATAATCCTCATGTGTGAGGGGTAGATAAACACATTCTGAAAACATTTCTGTAAGGCCTGTTGTAATTTAAATCCTCAGGGTTGTGTTCAGTATCTTCAGCTGTCATCATTAAGAGGGTTCTAACAGTGCTTACTTCTCATGCACTTCTGGGTATATGTTGTCATATTTTATATAGCACAGAGTTGTAAAATGTGGCACCGCTTACCCTTCTAAACCCCTTTATCTTTCATTTCTCTCTGGTGTCCTAGTAGTAAGAAGCTGCAATCCCCAAGACACGTGTTTTGAATCCACCAGCAGCTCCATGGGAGAAGGATGGGCGGTCTCCTCCCATGTGATTAACTGCCTCTGAAAACCCACCAGAGGGTCAACCATGGGACAGTTCTGCCTCTTTAGACTCGGCAGCCACATAATACATTTTATAAGTCTGTAATTTAAATTCACTATTTCCTCTGTAGTCCTCTCAGCAACCTCAGATTATAACAGAGATTATTTTAGAGATGGAAACTGAAGCTTAGAAGTGACTTTGAGTCAAATACTGATATTTGACACTAGGCATTCAAATCCCAAGCTTTTTGTTCTTTCCACTATCACATTCATCATGTCCATGCCTCTGTTTTGGCTGTAAGGCTAGTAATTACTTCCTGGTGCCATACACTGTTATTTGTGTACTTTCTTGTGCCGTACACTAGTCTAAATACTTTGCTTGTACTGACTCACCGAATCCTCTCAACAGCTCTTATCAGATATCATCTTCATTTTGGAAATGAGGAAACTGAGGCACAAGAGTGGTAAAATAATTTGACTGAGGTTGGGTAAGGAGTGGTGGAACTTAGAAGAAAATTAATTCTTTCTTCCTAATCTCTCTCCAAATATTAAGTATGATAAATTTTTGTTGTTATGTGCCATCAAGTTGGAACCAACCCCTAGCCGAATCTTTAGAAGTTTTCAGAGGCTATAAATCTCATAGAGGAAATTGCCCATCTGTGTCCCACAGAGCTTTTGATGGATTTGAACCACGTGCCATTGAGTTGGCAGTACTTATTACCCACTAGGCCACCAGAGCTCCCGAATATGATAACAGCTAATACTTAGGCATGGTTGAGATTGTGAGGCTAGTCGAGATTGTGAGGATAGTGCAGGGAAGGGCACAATTCCTATCTCTCGTTCATAGGGTCCCTGTGAGTGTAATTCACTTGACGGCACCAAACAACAACAATATTGCTTCTTTCACAAGGAAAATTATATTGCTACTCTCCCTCCTCTAGTGCCTTTGAGCCTGTTCTCCTAATGGGTTTTAGGGCTTATTTTGGGTGGTGGTGGTTGGACAGGAGTTTCATGTAGTAATAGAGACTTTGGCCTCCTGCCCAGTCAGCCTCTGGCTTGGGAGGAGGAAAACTTTAGTTTTCTACAAATAGAACCACACCCCCTTTTACCTTAAATGGCAACTTCTCTGTTCTCACTGCCAGACTTGCTGTCCCAAGGGAACTGATGCAGGGGCCCTGGTTGTGGTCTAACTGATGTCTTTGAAGGACTGCCTGGAAGGCATGCCCTCCTTGAATAAATGTTTGTTGGATTGAATTTAAAGTCTCATGTTCACATGGTGTTGCTTCTCTCCTGCCTAAATGTTCACTTTTGTTTTTAGTATTGCATAGAGATTGATGGAAGCAGAAACCAAAACTCTTCCCCTGGAAAATGCATCTATCCTTTCAGAGGGCTCCCTACAGGAAGGGCACCGGTTATGGATTGGCAACCTGGATCCCAAAATCACAGAGTAAGCCTAAGTCACCTTTCTTTATTTCCTGCAAAAATGGGAAGTTTGCACTGATTGTGTACAGAAGAATTTCAGATAGTGTAGGATGTATTTTGATCCTTTTATTTATGCTTTCCTTTATCTTTGAAGGGATTTCATGGTGTTATTAGGCTGTTAGTTTGTCATTTTTCCTATGTGATTCTTTCGCTTTAGGAGCAGAGACTTAGATATCCTTTAAAACAAGTGCTGCATATAACCTTCCTGCCAAAGAGGTTCTCTCATTTCCAGTATTTGAATCTTTTTATCCAGAGGTTATAGGAAATTATCTTCTAGAATCAACCTAGGGCAGTGAAAGAATAAGCAGAAGACTTCTGCCAACAGACAAAAAAGTATCACTTGATTATAATTCCTACATAGTGTTACATATTTATAGCCTCATATAGGAATCATAGCTAGAAAGAATCTTAGATGTCATCCTAGTCCTTTTGGGTTTCATTCATTACGTTATGTGAGTGCCTATTGAATAAGGAGCTCTGGTGGCTTAGTGGTAAAGGATCACACTGCCAATTCTAAGGTATGAGTTCACCAGCTGCTCTATGGGAAAAAGGATGGGCAGTCTCCTCCTGTGCAATTTACTGCCTCTGAACACTCACTAGAGGGCCAGCTATGAGTTCCAACTCAACATAGTCAACAACAACAGTGTATACAGATGTCATGTTAAAAGAGTTTTCATACTTTTTAAATCTTTAGAACTCCTTTCTTAAAGTTAGACAACTGTCCAATAGATCCTGATTCACACTGACCCTCTTGGGATTCTAAGACTATAAATCTTGCTAAGAGGAGATTGTCTTCCTTTCTCCTGTAGAGCAACTGGTATATTTTAACCTTAGACCTTTGGTTAGCAGTACAATATATAACTATGCCACCAGGCTCCTTAAAGTTAAAGTAACCAGAAGCTATATATAAAATAAAGGCTCGGATCTGCTCTAATGAAAAGAAGAGGCTTCTACACCCTTTTGTCAGCTGCTGTCCTTCCTTGCCAATCCCTGGTAAGGCTCTGAAATTTCTAGGGCTCCATAGGACACACTTGAACACCACTGGTAGGATCTAACTCTCTTATTCTACAGTTGAGGACACTGAAGCCTGAGAGAAGGAAGTGCCTTGCCCAAGGTCATAACACTAATTGAATTGTCCTGGCACCTCTTTCCATCACAGCCTTTATAATGGAAAGGAATTTCCTACTGAAAAGGTTTTTCTTCCCCTTTTCATCCAATAGAGGCGGGAAGATTGCTAGGGACAAAGTAGTAATGGGTAAATGGGTTAAGCTGCATGGAGTCACTGCCTAACACAAGTATGGAATATATTATTAGTCCTAGAAATGACTCTCTTTACAACAGACATAAAGGCAAGAGGAAAAGAGATGAAGGAACTTGCTTGATTAAGTCTAGAATGAGAAGTTGTTATTGGGTACCATCGAGGAGGACATAGATTGAAATTGGGAGTGACCAGACAGTGACGGCCACCCTGGAGGAGAAGAGGAAAGAGAAGGCCAAGATGCATTACCGGAAGAAGAAGCAGATCATGAGACTACGAAAACAGGCAGAGAAAATCCTAGAGAAGAGGATCAGCAAGTACACAGAGGTCCTCAAGAGCAATGGTCTCCTGGTCTGAGCCCAATAAAGACTCTTAATTCCTAAAAAAAAAAAAAAAAAAGAAGAAATTGGGAGTGAGGAAATGGATGTAAATTTATTAATTGGAATCGTGACAGCAAATTTAGTGCCTTGGGCCTTCCTCAAGCAAAGGTCAGCTAAATATGGGTACATTTGCAGCCCTTTTGAAATTGTTGTTGATTGCCTTCAAGTCGAGCACGACTCATAGCAACCCTAGGAACAAAAGACCTGAAATCCCTTTATTATTATGTGTTACTCCTGTATAATGTTTGTCTTGATATCAGGGACTCTGAGCAGGTTTATTCCTGTTTGCTTATATGGTTCATATCTTCAACACTGGATGTTTATACTACTTAACATCCAAATTAATGTTCATGATTCAGAGAATCTGTTTGCATCATCTGAAATTCAAGTTACAAGGTGATGTTCCCCAGGAGTACTTTCCATTCCCACCTCTGCTTGTCTGAATGGAAATATAAAGTGTGGAAACCATGTTTGTTGTGTTGCCTTCACATCCCAGTAATGAGACACTTGTTCTAATTGTGCCCTAATGTTTGGTGGAAGGGTTCACATGGACATTTGCCATCTCAGTTTATGTCATAATTTGAAGTATATGCCTGGAATGATAACTTTTGTTAGGTGCCGTTACGACAGCTATGGCTTATAGTGATCCTGTCTCAGCCTTGCTCAGTCTTGCTTCATCCTCATAATTTCCAACATGCTCAAGCCTATTGTTGCAGTCACTATGTCAGTCTATCTTGTTGAGTCTTCCTCTTACTTTTTCAAATATGATGTCTTTTCCAATGGCTGGCCTTTCCTCACATGTTCAAAGTGTGGGAGACAATCCATGCCTCCAGGAAGCACCCTTGGACGCACTTTGTCCAAGATGTCCTTGTTTGGTTTTGGCAATCTGTGGGATAGTCAGTGTTTTTCACTAATATCATATAGTCCAAAAACATCAGTAATTCTTTATTGTCCAACTTTCACATGTGTGTGTTGTTGTTAGGTGCTGTGGATTCATAGTGATCCTGTGAACAATAGATCTGAACCCAGCCCTTTCCTGTGCCACCTTCGTTGTCTCTGACACACTTGAGCCCATTGCTGCAATCAGTGTGTCATTCTGTCTTGTTGAGGATCGTGGCTTAGGTCAGGCACACTTTAGTCTTTAAAAGTGACATCTTGCTCTTTAGCATTTTAAAAGAGCCTAGCAGCAGATTTGCCCAATTCTCTAAATTTCTAATAAGCTTTATAAAAGTTTGCAGAGCACCCTCTAGTTTTCATAAGTAATTAACTTCCCACCCCAAAATTCTACTGTTGTTGTTAAGTGCTGTCAAGTACAACTCATGGCAGCACTGTGAACAGCACTCTGAATTTTGTCCTATCCTGTGCCATCCTTATCCCTGACACATTCGAGCCCCTTGCCACAGACACTACATCAGTCTATCTCATTAAGCCTTCCTCTCCTATACTGACCCTGTGCCTTTCTAAGCATATGTCTTACTTAGAGAAAGACCAACTAGATTTCTTTTTTTTTTTTATCATCATGGATAAAGATATATTTCACTCTCACCACATAAATACAAAACATCCAAATAGCCAAAACATTCAAAACAAAGTTAGTAGCCAGGTCTCAGCAACACCTACCTGCATTGGAATCGTTCATTATTTTCTTTACTGTTCGCCTAAAAAAATTAATAATAATAAAGAAAAAATCCGACGTAAATAATTTACAATAAAATTACTATTCTTTTTTTAAATGCTCTGCGCTCGTTTGTAGATTTCTTCTTGGAAGCAAGTATGGTGAAGATTCATCTCACATGCTTTAGACATGTTGTTGTTGTTATGTGTCATCTAGTCACATGAGAGTCATAGTGACTCTGTTCACAATAGCTTAGAACTCTGCCCTATCCAGAGCCAGTATCACTGTCTCTGACACACCTGCCCTTATTACCTCAGACACTGTGTCAATCCATCTCATCTGGGATCTTTCTCTCCTTCACTGTCACTCCACCTTTCCAAGCATGATGTCCCTCCAAGGACTAGTTCCTCCTGGCAACGTGCCCAAAGTATATGAGAGCTTCAAAATCCTTGCCTCCAAGGAACAACTTGGTTCCATCCTCTTCAGGACAGACCTGTTTGTTCTCCTGGCAGTCCATGGTTTGCTCAACACTCTTCTCCAGCACCACAGCTCAAAGTCATCAATTATTTACTGTCATCCTTATTCATTTGTTGAGCTCTCTGATACATAGTAATTGCAAAGACTATGGCCTGGATCAGTCTCCAGACTGACATTCTTGTTCTTCAGCACTCTGGAGAGGTCCCTGGTAGCAGGTTTTTTCCAATGTGATTTGTCTTTTGATTTTCTGACTGCAAGTGCCATAGAAGACGGCTCTGGACTCTTGGTCAGTGGTGAGAGTAGGCTGGGAACCTCTGCTTGAGGCCAGTGAGTGACTGGGGCAGAAGCTGAGAATTTTTTTTGTTTAAAACAAGTCGTTTGGGCCCTTGGGCCTACAGCTTTCGGGCCTGATTTAATTTTATTTCAAATGAACATTTCCTGTGTGGTACAGCTCTTTTCTATCATTTCGCTGTACTTAGGTGACTTAGGATTCCTGTGATAACAAATGGCGTGCCAGTGGTTGCATCAGTTGCCATAATGGTTATATATGGTTGGCAGTGTCTGGAAGAGTTCACAGATTAAGACAGGCTTGGAAAACAGGAGTTGCCACCCACTTCCTAAACATGCCTGTGGAAACTCAATGAACTTAGAGGACAATTTTTATAGAACAAGGTTAGGGTCTTTTGTTTATAGTCACCATTCGATTACACTAAATGACAACAACAGCTACATATAAAGCTTGGCCCTTGTCTCCATTTTGGAGTTAGGTGAAGTGGTGGACTCTATATGATGGAGCTCTTGTTTTGGTTGAGAATTTGTGTGGATTGTGTGTGTGGAGGGTTTCCCATTTTTTCTCTATTTGCTCTACTGAAATAACAGAGTTGCCGTGATGACGGACAACTGGGCCATCTGTGTGTCAAATACCATCATTGGCTACCCATCATGGGCAGCTTTTGTTGGCACTCCCAGATTCAGGTTTGGAAGCCGGACTGGCATCCACTTCCTAAACTACATGCCTATGGAAAGTCTAAAAACTTGGAGAAATGATGATAGTTACAGAAGGGCTTAAGGCCTTTGTTAATTTTCTGTTTATATATGTATCCTATCCTCACGTGTACTCAGTCTATATGGTGGACAAATCATTAAAGAAGTAAGACTCTATGAAGAAATATGTGGCATCAGAATGAGAGGAAATTGAAGCAGCAGCGGGATACTCCCAGATGGGTGCTTTATGA